AGTGCAATCTCCTCCAAGTTTACGTCTTAAACTTTGCTGAGTGGAAGTTCAGTACCCATGGTCTGAGAGTCCTGCTGTAAGCCAGGCTACTTTTCCTCGGCCACTGACTGTGAACTAAGTGTACTTAGGCTAGGAACCTCTTTTCAGCTTTTCCAAGTTAACTAATGTGTGATATGGTAAATTATAATGAGTGAAAGTGATGCTTTTCCTGATAAATAACTGCCAGAGGGAAACAAAAGGGTTGCATTTCAAGCACCATTCTTTTCACATATATTCAGATATGTAGCCACAGAAAGGCAGAAATTTATATATATATACATTTTTTTTAACTATGAAGTTCCTTCCTTTGTGATGATTTTCTCAGTGGTTCAAAATGCGTCCTGGTAAATGCAACTGGTTGCGTTTCTACTGGCCCTTTTGGTGGTCTGCATGCTCTGCCTTGGCTTGCCAACTCTTTGCAGTCAGAGTCCAGGTGCTTTTTCCTTGTCTCCTCCTTTTGGATTTTGGGGGTACATCGCACTTCTGCGCATGCTTGTCACGGGATGCTGCGTTTTCATTGTGAGACTGCGTGACCTATCCTGAGCAACAGTCCTAAATACAGAAAACAATTAGCTATGTAATGTACCGTCATAACAAAATTGTGGTTTACACCAATTATGTTTATCATGCAAAAATACTACCTTTAAGCAGTGAAATGTTCTATTGCATCACTTCCTGTCTTCAGGGTGTCTTCACGAACAGCAGCACAAAGACAGAACGGGGTAGAAAGGAGAATTAGAACAGCATGCTTTGCAGCTTTTAGGAGCAACGTACTCATTTCAAATTAATCATTTGCACAAGCATCCTTAGGTTAGCTTTGAACTATCTCTAGCAATTAAGGTGATGCAGAATGGAACCAAAGCATGCGCCGAAATCTGCTGGAAGAAGAGAAATACCTTCGCCAGCAGAAATACTGCTGTTAGCCATAATTCCTGCTAACAAGAGTTAAAAGTTACCTTTGATGCGTTTACATGAACTGAGGAAAATGCAGTATGGATTTACCTACTGCAGGTGCTCTGAATACTCAGCGTAAAGTGCAGTACATGAGTACAAAATAACTGTAGCCTGAGTTCGCTATGGCTAAGCAGCCAGACCTTCGCAAGATCAGGGACTCCAGAAAACTGGAGTTCCCTTGATGTGTATGTGGGAATATTCATGGAGCAGGTAAAGCCTCGCTGCATTGGTCTGCTTTGGTAAATTTGCACTGAATTAATGAGGAATAGGCTAATTTTGCCACTAGAGGCATGAGCAATGTCTTTCTGCTGTTTACAGACCGAATGGTCTGGTTGGTTCAAAATCAATCCTCCTTGCTGGACCCTCTCACCCCCCAGCATTCTACCTGTAGAAATGTAGGTATTACATTGGAGGAGGGGTTGGGAATGAAGGGGCCACATCGACAATAACCAAAGGTGTAAACAGAACCGGCAGCCTGAGCTCCCTTTTGTGAGCCACATGCAACTGGTTTCCCAGTTCTGAAGAGATGCTATGTTGATTTTTGCTAAAGAAAAAAAAAGGCAAAGCTTTGGAAGGAAGGCAAGCACTTTGGATGGAGGAGGTATGTGGCTCAGTTATCTCAGACCACACACTTTACAATTGCTTTTCAGAATGGCACATGGGAGCCCAAAGTGAGAAAGTTTATTTAAAGAACTGGTGACCTCCCCACTTCTATTGCCACACAAAACTTTAAAAATTATTTAAAAATATAGCTCACAGAACGTAAAACAAAGTAATAAGTATGTGTATGGTTATGTTTCTAGAGTAATAAATCACAAAACAGAGTATGTAACAGACTCTTATTTGCTAAGGAATTCCTTTTCCAGTGCAGGTATAGCATTATCAGTATTAATCACACAATGACTAATTGCAGGAGCGAGTACTCCCAGATATGAATTCTCTAAGATTTCAGAGGGCATTACACTTTGACTCCATTTCCACAAATATTCTGCTTATCCTTGCCAACGATGACAAAACGTGATTTACTTGAGAAAAATGTATTATGTGATAAACCCAACGACATTTAATCTCAGTTTTAGCATCTAATTATTATGCTGTGTCCAACACTGCAATACTAGAAATGCTTCTCTTTAAAAAAAAAAATTGTCATTAAAAGCAACAGGTAAATAACAGCGCAGCTGTTTTCTTTCATAAACATATTTAGAAACCAGGCCTTGTAACATTATTTTTGTAATTGCCACATCCACCAAGCACCTGAAGTTATTAATAGCTTGTCTGCCTCTGGCAGGAGAAAACATCTCGCAGAATTAAAGTGATCCTTGTATTCTTAGACTCCAAAGCTGTAAATGTTAGCAGGGAAAAACAATAAACAACAACAACAGAAGTACACAACAGGGAATAGTTTAATTCTGACGCAGTCCCTATGACATTATCATGTTAAAGAATACATATAAAGCATAGGCCCAATGATATATGACTTTGACACAGAACATGCTTTTTTTTTTCCTAGGGTTTTTGCATGGTTCTCTGCACGGGGCAAAATTGCAGGACGCGTATGCACAAAAACCTGGATTCCCCATCAGGGACTAATTACCTAAAAGCCAGGCATCCAGAGTGGTAATGGAGTTTCTCTAACTTGGTGAGATGATGAGTGGTGGGGCATTAACTTTTGTGAGGCATCGATACGCTCAGGGTGCCATACAAAGGTGCTGAACTTTGCAAGCCGGCACAAGTGAGAGGCAGAGGGACCTCGGGACAGCTGCTGGTTGTTAAAGTGCTGATTCTTTCACGGGTTACAGTGCAGAACAGTGAAAATGGAACACTACTTAAATTAATAAAAAAATGCACCACAGACACCGTATCACTAAGAAAGCCAGTAACTTTACTGATTTGTCTGCAAAATACAAATTATACCTTATTTCCAGCAGGAGAATCTTTTGAAATTTTCCCATTTTTGTTCACTACAGACAGCTGAATTAAGTCCCTTGAGATACACAGATGTGGTTTAACTTAGTTATAACATCTTGTCATCTAGTGGCGACAAAGTCCAGCTTATGCCGCTGTGAGCCTCTACTTTAATATTTGTTGCAAATGCTTGTATGCTCCCATTTACAAGCTATTTTGTTATCACCATTGTTTTATGGAAGCAAATCCCCATGAAAGAGAAGAAAAAAAGAAAAAAAGGATACAACAAACCATCTGAAGCAATCCAAGTGTAATGCCTGCGGTAACCCAGGTCTGATATTAGTTACTCCACAAAAGACTCTGGTACTGCATTTTTTTTTTTTTTTTTTTTTTTTTTTTTAAATGAGTTACTTAACTGACCTTTTTTGAATCAAACTGAGGTACGGATCAGTCTGAGGTATGAGCAGGGAAGGTAGAAATGCAACACCTGATTATGAAAATAATCAAACAGATACTTTTGATGCAGAAGGTCTGTGGCTCAAAGCTTGGATTGCTCCACATCTTTGGTTAAAATATATTAACAAAAGCCTTTTATTACATCTACAGTCTGAAGCATTCTAACAGACACCAATGTTCCATCAGTCCTTCAAGAGACCTGTAGTGGCAGGAAATTAATGCCATATAACTGACGACATCACAGCAGATGGCACAAACAGGAACAGATGAAGTATGCCATGTTTAGGCAACAGCCTTTATTGAGGTTTCAAGTGGCTTTTAAAAAATTACAAAGCATTTACCTTCAAGGCGAAGGAAGAAGGAAAACAAAACAGCTCTGTTAGGACTATAGATAAAAGAGGGTATATAGGATAACACATACAATACAAAAGGGTTGACATCCTTGAAAACAGTCTATGATTTCTTTTATTCTTATGCTAGCTTTACCTGAAAAAGATCTGAGGACAACAGATATTTTTATATTATTCATTAAAAACTGCTAAATTCCTCTTCTGGGAAAAATATAAGCCATTTTGTTATAAAACACAACTTTTGAAAAACACTGAAATGACAAAAGCTTTACTGCGAATGGCTCAATGCATACAATATACAGGTTGTGCAGATAGGGTATATCATATAATTGTCACCAGCAATTAAACACTAACTGACAACACCTTTTAATAGAGGTTAGCTTAGCTATAACAATACTTGCAGATGTCTAGAATGCCACTTCAGGTGTTTGAACTTACAATTAAGAATGTTGCCTAAAACATTATATAGCATGGGTTAAGGTAAAGTAAATGTTAATACTCTTTCAGGGCTCTGCCCCAAACTCCTTAAATACAAAGGAATCACACAATAAACCCAAATTAGCTTTGCAAATACAATAAATGGTAAGGTACAGATAAAGGAACAAGAAAGGTAGACAGTTATAGTTTACAGAAAGTGACTTCACAATCAAAGTTGTGCTTCTTATCATTAGATCAGTTTGCAAATATGCATTATCCCCCACATTTTTGCCAGTATAAGTTAGTTGCCCTCTGTAGCAGGAACAAGAGGGGCGACTGGCATTTATTTTCACGTGATTCTGTTCTACTTGTGTTTATACAAAAATCACTGTCAGAGTTAATATAAATTGCCCAGGCAATACTTTTCACGCTACTTTCTGCTTAGTTACTTGCAGTAATATATTACACTGCATCTTCGTTAAATACGTATCTTTCCTTTTTCATGCGTTGCTGAGGCAAATCGCAAGGTAAACTATTAATATGGCTATTCTTCATATATCAATAGACCAAATCCCCTTCCCCACTGACAAGTTTCTACTACAATACTGATAAAGTTGTATTTTCTCTTGAAATGACAAGGTACATTTGTGATATATTTGCATATTTTTGACACACCAAAGTTTAAAATTCTCAGAAGAGAATATGAGTATAGGTTCATCTGAAGGTGAAGAAAGTGGTTTCAAAAACAGTTTTTTTGTGTTTTAAAATTAATTATGGGCCCCATTTTACCTTTTTTTTTTTGTTTTGTTTTGGTTTTTTTTTGTGGGTTTTTTTTGTAGTTTTTTGGGTTTTTTTTGGTTTTTTTTGTTCTTTTTTTTAAAACATGCGTATCTCTTTCTTTACCCTGCAGATTGCTACGCAAGATAAGATGGTTGCATTAGTAGCACAGTATTCCGCTTAAAGAGTCTCCAGGTTATGCACTAGCCCCTGCACGGCTGAGAGTGCCTGTAAGGCAGGCTTCTATAAAGTCATGATAAGTGAAAAGCATTTGTCCTAACGCACACTGTAGTCTGTTCATCGTTCCCTACTACAGAGAGGTACACTCTAACACTGAGCAGTGCACAGCAACCGCGTGTATGGGTGGGAAGTAAGAGCGTGGATTTCCCTTAACAAAATATTCCGTGTCGATATTTAGCTGTCGCAGCTACACCCTTCATCATAGTGTCAATGTATGTAGGTGAGAGTTGGAAGGACTCTTGGAAAAAGGAGAAGTATTACAGTTTTACTATGGCACTAACATTTTGCTTAAACGCTTTTTCCCTTCAGCAGAAAGGTTGAACTGACAGGTTTGACTATACCGTTGTCTTCTAATAAGCAAGAGGGACAAAGAGGGACTTAAAGAAATGATACGTTCCCTCTGGCCAAGCTATTTTAGTCAAAGGAACAGTATGAGACAGGGGAAAATGTGGATGTCATACGCTGAAGCAAATCTCGCTAGGCTGCAAACACACAGGGAGGGACGTTGCTCAACAACGCGCCCGCTGTGAGGTGACGTGGCCGCCGAGGCCCATGAGGACCAGGGACCTGACGGCCAACATTGGCTGCGCAAGATCCATCGGCTTTTGATCGGTCCTTTAACTGATGACCTCTCGAAGAGTTTTAAACCTGTGAGAGAGGGGAGTAACCTTTGTACCAGGCGTGCTCATGCCCGCTCCTCCCTTTCACTCTCCCGACCGCTTCTGCAAATATTCACCTGCACTCACGTAAACTGACAGCCGTTAGAGCTGTACATCCAATTCTGACAGGCAGAATACCAGCTTCATTAATGAGAAAGGGCCAAGTTATGCCACTTTGTCATTTAACCCATGGAAAGCTACAAGATACGCAGGACGTTAAGTAATAGAAGGGCCCTTAACTTGTTACAATGCACAAAACAGCATGAAAGAACTAATCAGTATATACAATGGATCGCAGTTCACCCAACTGATTGTAAAATGCTGTATTAAAATGATTTAAGTTGTTACACCATGGGTAAATTCTAACTTTTTACAGATCAGTCTTTCAAGAGCTGACTTCGATCTGTAAAATGTATACCCAGTAAAAGAAAAACCGAAAGAAAATAGTTAAATGTGCAACTGCACAAATATAATTCCCCACTATTAAGATAACAAAAACTTTTGCTATTACCATAATTATTATATATATTAGAAAGCTATACACAAGCATGTTAATTTCACAGATTTTTTTAAAAGATTCTTAATATTTTATATAATTAGAAATACACATTTCAAAAACAAAACTTCTGCAAAGAGAAAACAGTTATCTTGGTTAGCAAAGCATGGAGTTCTTCATGGCTTAGGGTAGTGCTTTCTATACAAAAAGTCCTTTCTGTTTGTTTCTTCAGGACTGTTTAAAAGATCAGCGAAGCTATCAAGGAGAAAAGAACACATTTTGGCTTAAGGAAACTACAAAAGCCACAAATGCTTTGCAAACTCTGTCTTACTTTTTAATATGAAAATAAGCAAAATGTAATGTACATATTTTTATATTTTTTTTTTTATTTAATAAGTGATGCAGACCCAGAATCTTAAAATTAAATATGTTAGCCCTCGAACTCAGCATTTTTACAAGTATGGTCCTCTTTTAACTGTTTTGATCCTTTTTAACTGAGTGCCATACTGTAATGATATGCCTGCATGTTTGTGAGCATTTTCGGTTATGTTAGGTGACCCAGTCTCTTTCTAGCATCAATTCATGGCCACCCAACCGCTGGGTCTGTCAAAACATCTGTACATTTTCTATATGTTGCATAACAGCTGCTTTCTCTCTCAGTAAAGATCTGCCTTTTCTGGCAAATGTTTTCCTTTTGTCTATTTACATGTAAATAACGTTGAACCTGCAACATGACACTATCTATTGTAACATACATTTTGCAAGGGAGCACAACAGTGAAAAGAAGTTAGCCTTAAAATCTATTTTGTACAAGTGTTCTGTTGTACAACTCAAGTGCTAAGCTTATCTCAGCATTTCTGTTTATCCTTATACTGTATCACTGAGGCAATTTAAAAGTACTTTTACAAAACAGAGTACCTGACTTTTTTTTTTTTTTTCCACACACGGCACATATAATGCATATCGACCCCCCCTCCCCCATTAAGGTATAGCACACACACACTGCAAGAAAAAAAAAAAAAACAAAAAACTAATAGGTAATAATGTTATCATGTCGCCCATCCTTCAGAGAGCCGCATGCGCTTGACAGAGGGGCTTTCCCTTTCGTCCGGCGAAGGTCTGGTGAGTCCAATGGGGGAGTGGAATTCGTTCCGGTGATCTTCTCGGTCACTTCCATCGTAGGAACTGCTACAGCTGCTCAAACTGTCAACAGGAGATCTCCCCGCCTCATGGCGCGTGTGCTGTGGGTATCTCGAGGGTGTGGTGGTACGGTCTCTAGGAGGAGAAACAGGTTCTGACTTGATGTTGAGGCTTTGAGTAGAAGGCAGGGAGAGATTTGTACTCTGAGATAAATGAGTGCTAGTGCAAGCTCTGTAGGAGGAAAGGAAACCCAGTTACAGACGGAGGAGGCATGGAGCCCCCAGATATGCACAAACACTCACACAAAACACCAGTGTAAAGGCTCGCACAGGACCAGCACATGCAGAGAGCATGAGGACTGTTTTCTGGGCAGGATTGGCAAATTCAGAGAGATGGGAGCGTGACAAAAAACGTGGTCAGCTTGAGAGGGACATGCCCTCGGTTTGAAAGGAGGTCTGGCTTTCCATCTCTCTCTCTCTCTCTCTTTTTTGACTCAAGTGTCACAACAAATTTTGGAAGGCAAGCCTTTGCACTGTTGGAACCACCTGCAGGTTTCTTTATAACTAATGCTTGTGTGTGTGTATGCACCGGCTGAGACAGGGGAGGCATGGATTTTCTGCTGGGATTAATCCAATTAGTTTGAATGCACCCGATTATTTTTATGGCTGTTCATTTTGACATGCGACTTCAGATGCGAAAACAGAAACAAAAATTTGGGCCAAGGGACCTTTTATACCTTTTAGAATAGAGTTGAAATTTCTGGTCCTAGGATTGACACTAATAAAATACCACAGGCAGGCGAGGATTTAGATACGATTTTATGGTTTAAATCTATGAATTTATAACTCAGTCCAGAATGCTTTGGAGTAAACTACCAAAGAGAAGGTGAAGAGTGGTGGAAGATGTCAGAGGATTGCACTGTTTGCCTGTAGGAGAGCCCAGCTCAGAGAATGCTCCTAGCCTCAAGAGAAACTGCCAGGCTAAAGCTTTCTCAACGGCAAGCTATATAACTACTCTAAGTTCATTTTCCTTCTGTGCACTTTTGTGGGCCGGCAGCGGCAGAGGAAAGCTGAAACAGGCAGGGAGGAGAGTGAACACTGCGAATGTGCTTTATCTCTAATGGGAGAAATGAGATCACTTGCATCTGCAGGATGCTTTGCGCAAAAGCACCACCTCCTGGTAAAACCCGACTTTTCTCTTCGCTAGTAAAATAGAGAGTTCTCAACATGCAGTTCCCGTTATGTTCCACTTCAGGGACCGTTTGCTAGGCTGAAGCCAGTGTCTAACCCCAGAGGCACACTCTCAAGGTTTCTGCTCCTGAGCATTTTACGGGGGGCAGACCGAGGGCAGTAGGCACAACAGACCACTTGGCTTTGTAAGATTTTAAACCCAAAGGGCTGTGCAGGCATTTGCACTGCAAGCAGAAGAAACACTGGAATTTGGAAGTAATTTTTAAGCATGTAGAAATTAAGGTTAGATGTGGTCTTTTCATTTATTGAAATATTCCACTTTTCCTGATATCTCATCAACTTGGAGTTGAGCTTGACATTTACTACACCTTTGATGAAAGACACAATGTTGTTTTCTTTTCTTCTGACAGGTTTAAGATGGATCTATATGGCTTCAATATCAAATGACATCAGCTGCTTTTATAAGGAATTATCGCAGTCTTTAATATTGGATGGATCTTGTTAGAAAACAGGATGTTCTACCTCCAGTTGCTTTTATCTACCTTTCATTCCTATACAGATGAATGTGCCAAATTTGCAGCAATCCCTTTCATAAGTCACAGAGTTAGTCAGTAATAGCCCTCATAGCAGCAAATGTAGGCTTTTTTTTTTTTTAAAGAGGACATTTTCTTTGCTTTTGTAACTACTAAATTAACACAGTTGTAAATACCAGACTTCGTCATTTCAATTTAGTGAAATATTCCACCCTTTTCCTGAAAACTTGTTGAAAAGAATCCAACAAGAATTAAAAATACATTCCTGGGTTTGGTTTTTTTTTTTTTTGCTTTTCATTTCCAGTGACTTTATTTTCCAGTTGCTTAGGAGATGCTAGGACTTCACCTGGGAAAACAGGCTGACATTTTAGCATGTATGATAAGATTACACATGATTTTAGATGCCAAGCCTATAGCTAAACCTGAAAGTCCTGTAATAAAGGATGGTGGAGCCTGGGGATTTGATTTAGAAGTGTTTGATATGAGCATATGACACGTCACTTTGCAAAGCTGGGGACAGCTAAAAACCCCATGCTAGTTAAAAACAACCACATTCAGTCAAATTTGTTCACATGGAACATACTTGCATTCTATTGTGCAACAGCCCCCAAAGGAACAGATAGAAAGGGATAAGCTGCATTTTCAATGAAATAGAGCTAGTATTGCTACACTGTGATGTCGCTTTTTAAATAGTGTTTCAGAAGGGAGTATGAGAATGCATCTCTACAGACTTCTATTCAGATTCCTTGTGATTCATCAGCAGGGTTATGTAAATACCTGGCATACAAATTTGTGGCAGTTTTAAAAATGCTACAGGTTGATCTGCATTTTGAACACGTTTTTGTAAATTGAAAAAAGGTTAAAAGTAATTTTGGCAGGTCAGGACTAAATTTTTGAGGTTTAAAACAATATAAATAAATTAAAGCAAATATTTTGAGTCATCATTCAAATTTTTTTCTTTTTAAGTGTCGCCTTTTTCTGCTAAAACTATATCTGAATTTTAATATCTGTTTTTTGGTGACTATAATTTACATTATTTCATTAAAATTTTCTGAAACATTTTAATGAGAATCTCGTGTAAGCTAAAATGGTCAATTACAAGGGGAACTACTGTTACACATAGATGTGAATGGTGAAATAGTACATAGTTAGTCTTTAGACTCGTGTTATAAACTGAGTGCTGACCTCTAGAATAGAAGCTGTATTATAAAAAATGAGAATTCTGTCTGCTACAAAATTATTTCTTTCTGTGTATGCATGTCTGTGTGAGTGCAGAAGCAGCTGTTTGTACCTATAGGTATCAATGTGTATTTTACACTGTTCCTTCATATAATTATGTCATTTTGGTCCAGGCATGACCTGTTTTCATCATTTGAAACCTACACTAAGTTCACTGGAAAACAAATAGGTTTTGAATATGGAAAATCCACACAGAAAATAAAGCAAACTACTTCAAAGGATTGTGTGCAATTCTAAGCGTTTCAGCAAGTGCCGTGCAGTCCACTCATGTTGACGGAATCACCTTTTTCCACATATTGTATGAAAACATTTCATTTTATGGGGACAACAAAGAAAACTACTGTTCTAATTTTACACAGCAGTTCCTGTTGAGACCAGTAGAGTGAAAATGTGATGTTTGTTTAGCATACAACAGCCACGTGGGAGAATTGCTGGTTCCTATCTGGGTTCAACACTGCACAACTACAGAGCTCTGCTGTGTAAGTGATGGGAAGCGAGTCAGGATGCAACAAGCGTGCAAGGTGGGTTTAGTCCTTGCAGATGCCAGTGAGATCAGTTCTGTGTGTGTCTCCACCTATTTGAATCCCCAGCTGCTATGGAAGCTCAGCACGCACAGATAGAAGTGCAGGTCTGAGTAGGTGATGAGTGAGGACACGAACATGCACCAGATAGGTTTTTATAGGGGGAGAAAGTGGTTTATTGAGGGAGGAAAGAGCCTCACATACCTTTTCTTTTATGCCCACACTTGCTCCTCTAAATTAGTTTACTTCCTCACTTCATATAATTGTTTCCCCATAAATAGGTATAAGGAACCCTTGAAAATTCATTGCAAAATTTATTTATGTAGCTTTAGTTATGGGCTAGTCTGTAACTAGGAGAATAGAGGATATTTTTGTCTTGCTAGCAATGCAACCTTCCTCACTCCCCTCTGTTTTTCTTTTAGGTAAAAGCAAAGTTGTTTTTTCATATTTTTTGATCCATGTAAAAGCAGAATAAGAATTTCTGTGTCAAGATGTTTTGATTAGCTCTCACACGTTAAGGTCTACCCTTTAAAAGGAAATTTTTAAATGAAGAATAATATGAAACTGAATCACTGGAACATCTTATTTACAATGATGACATAAGAAAAAAAAGCTCAATCCTAAATGGATAGGGCTTTTATTCAAAACAAGGAAGTTGGCAGAACTGACACAAATTCACAAAACGTGATGTCACTGCACCTAAATTTTTCAGTAAAAATGATTGAATGAGGAATATTTGCTCATGTCTAGATATGGCTATTACCTAATCAAAATTAATCATTGCTAAGTAATAAGCTTGCTATGTAAGAGTCACAGAACAAGTCAACAGCATGCATAAATTTGGGCATTTTTTGTTCAGGTGGGTGAAGTTTGGAGTTTCTTTTATGGAAACAGCGATCGATACTGAAGATTCTTCAGATGAAATACCATTTCTGTGTTTGCACCTATAGTCCAAGAAAGCCAAAATTTCAGCAGTGGATGATATTTAAGGAAGAAAAGATTCTCTCTTAGACTGGGAAATATGGATGAAAGAGAACACTTTCCATATAATGCACTAGAGCCTAAAAAATTTAGATCTTTTATTTTAGAGTTTGGAATAGACTTCCCTTCTGGTTAGCAGCAATTAACTTCTGACAGACTCTTTGGTCCATGCTAAATAAGCAGTAATCCTCTCTGTAAGAGAGACTGCAGCAATATTCAGTCAAATAAAATTCTGAACTTTTGGGAGGGATTCATTTTCAGTAAAATTTGTGTGTATTTTTTCCAGATGTAGACCTAGTTAAAAGACCATGAAAGTACTATTTTGCTTTTTAACCTAAAAAGTTGAAAAGTCTGACTTGTTTTAATGTCCCAGTCATACCAAAATAGGCTCGAGGTTGTTATCCTATTCACCAGGCTCATCAAAAGGCCAAAAGCTGAGCAGGCAGGGGAAGTGAACTACTCCCGTGTCCTCAGGTATTTGCCCTCAAGCCCACTGGCATTAGCACATTTTCTAATTGCAAAGTCATCATGAAGAATTAAGAGATAGGTTGTAGAGATCTTCTCCAATTATCTTAAAGATGGTTCTGACAGTGCTGCTGAAATTGTTGGGGACTTATCTGGGAGCAAGTTAGTAAGTCTAACCATATCCTGTTCTATTACTAACCATATTCTTCTGCCATGCATTGAGGAAGCAGGGCTGTTTTTCACCTTTAGGCTTTGGTGGAAAACATAACCTGCTGGAGAACTAGGATATCTCTTCCAGTAACTCTGTTTTCTCGCAGGTCTTTACAGACTACTGTGAGCAACAAACATCTCACGGTCGCCAAATCTTTCCAATATTTCACCTCACTCAGCACAGGAATCGGGGTGTCAAACCCTTTCTAGATGTATTTTATCAAATACCTGGGGATGTCTATAATTTTGTGTGATTGTTTTAATCTTCCTGCAAATTCTAGCTCAGGTTGACATGGACTGAATATGTTCTCTATAATTTCAAGTTTTCCAAATAATCCAAAAGTTAGCACAGGTACTTTTGCATGTAGAACTCAGTGACTAAAATAAAATAAAGAAATGCTTATGATTTTCTGCAGAGATAGAAGACTTCTCCAGAACTGTCAGTGAAGCAGCTTTCATAGCTGAATTCATTTAAAAATCACTGAAAGAATAATAATAAAAGTAGCAACTCAGAATGCATTCCACCAGCCACAGCCATTACACTTCGACATTCTGTGATATGGATTAGAAACAGATGACGATGTGTGACATATCTGAAAAGGCATGTAGTTAGTTTAGGATTTAATTTATTTTAATTTATACTTTTTTGGTATGGCTTTATTACATTCTTTGGTGCACCACCGAAAACAATCAGCTTATTGTAAAGTTATACATTGATATCTAATATGAGTCTTCAATTTATTTGAGACTTTATGTCTTTAGTTGTATAGTTAGCCTGAGTGTTGCCCCAGAAACAGTGCAAACTCAAAAAGAAAATAGAAGAAGTGTAAGAGAAAGGTATTAAGACTATTTTTTTCTAGCACAGCAACTATTTCAGTTGTATGTTTTTATGTAGTTATTATCTATATATGCTTATTTAGATATAAATGAGATTTAAAAATTTTTTGTGTCCTCTGAAACACTTGTAAGCTGCCTTTTAAAAACTCAAACTGTCTGTACATGGCAAAGAAATTACAGTAAGATACAAAAAGTGGTCAGATAGATAAATTAGAAGGAGAATTTTGAAGTTTAAGCCACATTCATAGTATTAAATAGTTTCACATTATGGCAACCATCTTGCAAAAAAAATTAGTGCATATGTGCAACACCTCTTTCTGAAAGAAAAAAAGGCATTTACTTTTCAAATGCATGTGAATTAAATTTCTCCTCATAAATACTCTCCAGCTGTTTCCAGCTTCTGTTTTTATAATGAAAACTTTTAAAATTCAAACATGTCTAGCCATATCTTAGGCTACGTGTGGTGTGCTGGTGCATGCCTACAGTTTTACTCAACAGAAACTGCAGATACCAGGATTTTTGAAAATCATATTCTTAAGGTTCACTTCAATGAGAGAACAGGTTGCTTTTTCAAGAATGCATTAGGTGGCTTCCCTGTGTGAATTTTCACACTTTTAAAAATCCTGAAATGATTTAGCCGTGTGCTTCACTGATCTTGAATAAATGTCTTGAAATTAGCCACTAGAGGGCACGAATACCTATCCTCAACACAGGCAAATCACAACGAGTTTTGTGGGCTTACGGTTCTTATGTTATTTGCTTGTAGAAAACATTTCCAAAGAAATGAAACTTGAATGTCAGAGCTGAGCAGAAGGGAGTATGTGATTATTATATAAGGTTAAGGCTTAATCTCAGGTCAAATCATTATGTCACTCTTACTTGATTAAAAACATTTAGAAAATTTTCAAGTTTGTGCAACAGTAACTGGAAATAAAAAGGACAAATGGCAAAATACAGCAGCAGCACAATATAAGTGTTTAGTTTGGTCTTTAGTAGTGAAATAAAATACTGTTTAAAGAAATAAAGAGGAAAACATGAACAGTAGATTTTACTACACTACTGAAAAAATGTTACGGACACAGAGTATTTCATTGTAGCTACCTAGCAAACCTTTCATGAAATATGTAGTTCCAGTTTTGGGAAATGGAGCTCTTACACATAGTAAATATGTGCTGATATGTTGCCTTGATGTATTTCAGATTTGGGATTACTGGGGGGACTGAAATCACTGTAGAACAATAAAATAAAGAAAACGCTGCTTACCCCAATTGACTGAGGGCAGATGGTGGCATGTTATGTAGGTGTTGCTGTTGCCAGCCAGTCACAGAACCAAGATGAAGAGCACTGGCTGTGTTAAACCCAGAGAGAGATGATATATCTGCACTACTCAGAGAATATTCTAGATTTGAAAACAGAAAAGACAATAATTAAAAGAGAATTAAAGAGGAAGTAATTAAACAATAACTAGCAACGTAATTTTCACGTCACTTTATAAGCCTTTTAATTTTAATTACACCAATCACATTAAGTTGCAGCAAAAAAGTAGACCTTCCTCTTCCCTGAACTCATTAACTTGGGAGCAAATAATGCACTAATAATTATTCTGTAATTTAGCAGGGCTTTTCTGGATCTGGAAGATCCAAAGCATTCTTTGCCTGTATACCCACCATAACTACAGTTGCATTCTCACAGAGTCAAAGACTTGAAAAACATAGTAATATTTCAGTTACAGTCTTCCTTGCAGAACCCAGCAGGCAGCTTGTGTCTGAACAACGCATGTCTTCTCTAAGAGCATTGGTTCTGCATGTCAGCATGCTTTATACCACAGCAATGAGCCATGAGAACTGGAAAGTATCTCTTGAGGCTTCATTTCTAGTCTCTCCCAGGTAACTATGTGATAGCTCACAACGTTATTGAACTCGGTCCTGAAGCCAGTGAAGCTGCTTGCTCCCACTACCCTTACGACTTTAGGAAGGTGCACTCAACCACATGAAAGTACCTGTGGTATTAAGAAGATTAATAATTGTCCTTTAAGTTAATTTTTTTATTAAAGCCAATGAGAGAAGGCTGTCAAAGCAGTTTTCCATCCTAACAAAAATAGCTAACTTTTAAATAGATATGCCTCAAGTTAGCGACAGCTACAAAGTAAATGCAGTGCAAAAGCATATCAGCTATGAATTCTGCGTTTTCTCCCAACGAACATTAGCTAATTCATTAGTAGCGAGATAGACATTTGTCAGCATCTTGCTCCCTCCCCCACCCTTTACATCTTGCACCCATACTTACCAGTACCATATGTTGTTGAGATGGCTGATGGGTATCCTCCCATCCCTTGCCCTGGTAGAGTAGGAGTTGCTACGGAAACCACTGGAGTAGCCAATGACTGAGCAGACTGGGAGTTATTTATCCTCTGATTCTTTTAAAGTAAGTAAAATAAACATATTATTGACTAGTCTTAAGTCAGTTGAGTGTATTAGCTTTCTGGGTATGTTTTGTGCATGAGAAACACAGGCTGATACAAATTTCTAGAAATTAATCATTTAACATGTGGCTTTTATGAACTCTGCCAACCCTATCATTTACAAGCCTTCAAGAGACCAGTTGTCACCATAGTAACCCATTACATCAGTATCTCCTAGGTAACTGAACTAGTAACAAGTAAGATTGCTTTTATTGTGGGGAGAAGAACAGATCATGTGAAAAACTAATGAAATATGTAAACTCTATTCCCATTGTTTTCCTCTTCACTCATATTAAAAAAAAAAGTGTGTGTGGGGGGAAAGGCGAAAGAAAAAACCTCAAACCCAGCCCTACTGGATTTTATGCCTTGAAAGTGAGGGGCACCCCGAGATTGCTGAACACTGAACTCTTACCAGCAGATGGTGCTCTGACTACTTCGTTTTTGTGCAATAAAACAAACTTCAAGAGTGTTAGGTAGCACAGCAGTTACACGCTTGTCTTTAACTCCGCGGCACTAGAATGTTGCACTGTAAAAATTGCACTAGAGAAGTCTAATGCTGTGAGTGGCAGGATGAAATGACCAGAGAGCCACCAAAAAAAGGTTGTAAGGCTGCGCCACCTTCAACAGCACAAGTTTACACGCTCTCAAAGCACCAGCAACAAGAAAGCTTTATTCTAGCATGCATAATTTGAGTATGTGCAACAGCTGTACCTGGCCTTCCATATTACTAAATTTCAAAAATTGTGATGACCTTTTTGTTCACAAAAGAGTTATGGTAATGTTTTCCATTTTATTTCAACCAACACTTCACCTACACAAGTATCAATCATATAAAAGAATTGATTTTCTTTTCCTTGTTATTAAGATGAACATCACTACCACTTACCAGAAGCAGATCAACATCCTCAGACTGAGTGCATAGGAAAGGAGCATTAAAAATTAGTGAATATAAATATTTACCAGGATGTAGACTTCTAGCCTAGGGAATAGCTTCATCTGATAAGGGCAGCAAATTAAACAATTTCTGAGTATAGTTTGGAAAAATAACACTTCATAGAGCTCCTCTTTGTCCTTCTAATGGGATGTTTGTTTCAACTGCGAGGACAACCTATCCAGTTTTCAGAACAAGACTTTGTCTAAGAATTCATTATTTCTTCCACAGCCCCAGTGGCTGCAGACTGTGCTGCTGTACCTGGTTTCAGGAGACCTGACCATTCACAGAATCCCTTGGAAAGTATCAGTTTTAAGGACCTTGGAATAAATCATTTGATGCAGACAGCTTGTCACTGCCCTGGTCGACTTTGAGCACTGCCCTGTAGGAGACTGTTTGTTACTTATCCTTGCAGAAGGCAGCATCACATTTATGAAGGGTTTTAGTTTGATGTTCAAAGTTAATTTATTATGCGTCAAGATGAAGTAGCCAACTTGGAAGTTGTTTTCATAGTGTCTGTTACACAATGGAAAAATCTGTTTAATAGTGTCACTTAAATTTACCATCAAGATTCTTTTTAAATTAAGCTCACTTTTAATTTTAAATCATTTGTGAAAGATTTACTTGCAACCACTAACCAGCTTTCAGAAAGGAACTACAAGATATGCACATGACACCTTCACGATTCAACCTTCTAGCGTAATAGCCTGCCTAAATTTTGTTAACCCTGGCAGGAGATACAGCAGTTTCATGCTCCTTTTTATCCTGCTTTATCTATTTACTACCTCTTATCATGACAAAATCTGGCCTTTAGAGCTCAGAGTGATATAGTTCAAATTAATTTATTTGTAGTTAATCTGTCACCTGCTGAGAGTCTGTGTGGCTAAATATTTAAGAAAAACACAGTAGGTTAGGAATACTCAGGGCTAAATTCAGCCTTTTTAACAAATCCAGGAAAGGCCCTTCCAGTTACTAGGAAAGGGAGTGCAGAAATTTAGACTGTGCAGGACACAGTTCCTACGTTACAACTCAATAGAAAAAAGAGAGGCAGTAAATGTGACTTTACAACAGCAATTGAACAAGCTCTGCCTACATCCTCAGCTCGATGGCAAACCTTAAGATTAGACAGAAAGACCAAACAAGCAAGACTGTGGAATGTTATTCTGCTGAGTTTAGTTGCTTGAGGAGGCCTTGAAATTCCTAAATATCTCTTATCTGAAGGAGATAAAGAAAAGCTTTGAAAATGCATTACCACTGATGGCATTGTATTCTTGCTGCCAGGTGGAATCAGCACACGGAGATCTGGTTTACGGTTGTTCATTCCCAAATTCATCGGAGGTGGAGATTTTGCTTGCATATTCTTGTTCAAGTTGCCAGGTGAGACCAGCAGACCTGGTGAGTTGCGGGGGTTGCCATATCCATTTCCTGTTTAAGCAAAAAAAAAAGAAAAAAAGAAAAGAAAAAAGAAAGAGAATGATTACAAACTCCAATATAATTCTTAAGACTGAACTCTGAAAATGTCAAATAAAAAAATTCAAGGTAAATACCTGTGCCCTGTAATGTATTTTTATAGGAAAATATAACACACGCCATATTTGGAACAACTGGTCTTAAAATGCTTTCTCTCTTGGCAGCCAACATCTTTGTGATGTGTTGAAATTAACTTGATTGTATGGATCTGTTTACAGTACTATGGTATATAGCACAATATACTGTGCACCCAAAGCAACCAAGGTCTAACATTTGCCTTACATGAGAATCAAGGAAGTCAGACAATCTTATGGCTTAACAAAATGTCAAAGCTATGCTGTGTGTTCTCGACAACTACAGAGGATTCTGCCTTGCCTGACTCAGCCCTTTCCAGGTCATGATTTTGTTTTGTTTTTAAACAAAGGATGAGTATAGCAAGGCTATAATTTCCAGAAAAGGCAGGGGGAGGACTAGGAAGATTCTTAAGTGTTTTTGGCTCTCTTTCACCACACTTTTTGGACCTGATTCTGTCAACACTAAAGTCAATGGGAGCAAGAGCATACCCTTATTTGGAAAATACCACTGTATCTTTCATCTTCATCTCTCTGTTGCCTTCTGCAGGCCCCAGGAACAATTCTGACAGGCGAATGCTTCATTTGCCTTTTTCAGGAAAGGGTTTCCTTCTCTCACCACGTAGCAACTCGCAACTGTATATCCATAGGGTTACTGACCTATCATTCCACAGAAAATGAGACCTTCCTATTTCATCCACCTAACTTCACCTCTTACCCACACAAAGTCTGGGGAAAGAGATGACTTTTTAGTGTAGCCTTGAAATTGTGTCTGCACAGGCTCAAGAGAGACACAGAAACTGCCCAGTCATAGAGAGTGAATAGCATGAAAACTAGTACAAAAAGAGCAAGCTTTCACAGATAAATAACAAGAAAACAAATGCTAGTGGAGACTTTCTGTTCTGTGCTCATCTTTTGTTCACAGCTCGCAAGCTGTGACACACAACCTAGAAATAGTGTGGGAAGATGAGCTAGTGAGTGTGGCAGAGTCCTATGAGTTAGAAGCCCTCGACCTTCAAACTTCCTTTGTAGTCCCAGAGTCAGTGAAGAACTTGGTATCTCACTTTTTTTTTTTTCACATGTGAAATGGGGTTTACAGCCCTAAAAGACATAAATGGATTATGGAACTAAATTTGATAAAGCCTATGATGTGGGCATAAAAATGACAGTACGTGAGAGCGAATCTGTCTTCTAGTTAGGATAATGAAGTGTGTCCAAACATGGCTAACATTATGTCATGTTTTTAATCCATAAGCACATCAGCTAATTGTTTTTATTAGATCAGCAAATCCATGGGAAAAAAAAAAGAATCTGTCAAAGGCTATTAAATACAAACCCACCACTTCAAGGTCTGGAAGACCCTGAGCCGTGAACATCAGGCTTAGGACACATGAAAAGTATCACAAAGTGTTTGACTTCCATATTTGTGAGGCACCTTTAGTCATAGGTCCAGCCTGGCTTGTTTATTCTCATGCTTTTTATTATCATGATCTCCCAAGCCTTTGTAAAAAGGAATGTAGATGAAAACTTAGAAGCACTCAGATTACTTCAGAGATTTTGTATAGAAATCTTCTTCATAGTTAATCTTGTTGCTTATTTCCTTAAGAATATCGTGCAGTTAGTGAGACAGAATGAGTTAATGAAAAAAGTGTATTTTGCACTTATCAAGCTAAAATAGCACAACACTGTCAAGAATTTTCCATTTTGTGTCAGTAGGCTTTTTTTTAAATGAACAATTGCTCTCAACGTGGATTTGCTACATATTATGCTCTAATTAATGCTATGTGTTACCAGAGGTGGTGAAATTAAAAGAGGCATTTTGAATACACAACAATATTTTCTTCTAGAAACTACAGTGCCTTTTAAAAGTTGATCTTTTATGAACTGAATACTGAACAACTAATGATGTGGAGAAGTGATCAAGAGAAGAAACTGAAGCACAAGTAGAGTTTCCCTGGTGCTGGTTTCATACAGGAGCTGTCTTGCCAACAGGTAAAGCTGGTAACAACAAACAAGCAAAACTGCCTTGTGAAACCTGTTGTGTGACAAGCCTTTGCTCAGAGAGTGAAAATGAAGCTGTTTGAAAAAGCAGTGTATTTTTTTTTTTAGTTCTACAATATACAACCTAAGATATTTAATGAAACAGCATGCACCATACTCTATAAGTTTGTTTCTGTAGCAGCGATTTTCAGAGAATAGAAACCCTTACAAGAAAGAATGCCTGCTTTCTACATAAGATTTACTTAGTATGATTTACTGTTAAAAATTAAGAGTGCATCCATATAAAACTTTACTCTTCAGAAACTTTTGCCTGACCTTTATATTATTTACCTACTGATGTAAAATATTTTGAATAGTGATAACATTTCTTACATTTATATTTTTAGAACATCAAATTATTTTTAAGAACTACTGCAATCTTCTCTTTACCAGTAGATTTCTGCTGTTCATGGCATATTATGCCAGCTAGCATTTTGGAGCCATATAATAACCATTCCTCTTTCCAGCCACCAAATTGTTATTCTTTTGGCATAATGTGGATTCAGGAATGTCAGACTGTGGACCTTAAACCAATGACACAGAAACCCGTCATTTGAAAATCAATGATGAATGCATGCATGCGGTTTACAGTTAAGAAGAGTCTGCACTTAAACCAGCTCTTTAAACCGTATCCTCTTTACTCAGAAAGCTGTGGCCTGCTCTGAACCAGCTGTCCCACCTTCAGATAAATCCACCGAAGAGAATGGCCTCATTTACATTCAGAGGCAAAAAAAAAATGTATAAGACTTCTAATATACAAATTAAGCCTTCCTTCATCCTATACTTTAAAATTATACTCTGCCTGGACAATTATCAATTTAGATGTGACTGTATGCAGAACATCACATTCCACTATCCACTTGAAAGCGTAAAAATTATATGTCATGTATGAATGGATTTCCTGATTATAGATTATAAGAAAATGAAAAACAGATGGATTTTAGAGCAAGTTGGCTTTACATTTTTATTTGGTTAAAAGCCATATTTTTGCTGGAATAGAACATTTTTAAACATTACGGATATAACTTGTAATGTATAATGAAAATAAAAACAGTAGATGCACAAGTTTTAAAGGGCATATGTCAGAATTTGTAAATTTACAGCATTTTCAATTCAAGAAGTTTTCAGAGAAAATTATTTTTCTCTTGTTGTTTGTTATACTGACTTGAGAGAGTAAAAATATTTTACACAGAAAAGAGCTTGTTTCTAGACAGAACTAGTGGAGCAGCACGTGTCATGAAATGTGGTGCCAGACTTTGTATTTGGACTAATGGCAGAATATAAAGACAAATGCTTTCTGAGCATAGAATGCTCTTCTTGGGCATTTTCCCACATTCTGCATTTAGGCACAAGTGCCACTGACTTTAGAAGGAATTCTGTCCAAGTACAGACTGCATGATTAATCCCTGCAATATAATTTTTCAAAAACATCCAGAAAGGTTATTTTTGTGCACCAGTAGTTAGTCAGTCAGGAAGAATTATTAAAAAAAAAATCATTTACTCATGGAAAATTATGATTTGAACTATGTTACAAATTCATGTACTACTATCTTAAATGGTTACTTCCATGTTTTAAGAATTTAAGGGTACGAGTAGGGCACAAGCTTAGTCAGGACAAGACAAAATTTACTCCTTTTCTTTCATCCCGCATAAGTAACACCTGTACCTTACATGTAGTTTTGGTCATTGGTGTTATAATGGTTGCAAAGTGGCTGCATTCTTGGTATTTTCAGAGTTAGGGCAATTCTGCACTGAGCATTTATGGCAGAAGAATAATTTATTTCCATATCTCCCAACATTCTTGAACAGCATTTTCATGATTCAAAGTCTTTAAGTCTTGAAAAATCAGAAAATTTTTCTATTTTGATTTCTTGAAATTTTGAACCTGTCATGTCCCTGCTTGTTTCTTTTTAATTTGTGATTTCAAAGACACAAAAATATACTGGATGAAAAAAACTCTATGGTAGTCCTAGAAGAATGAAGAACAAGACCCACAATTTATATGTCCTTTCTTTGATCTCTCTTTCATTTACTCTAATGCTTTTCACTGACCATATGAGTTGAGAATTTACAAGTTTGGGATACCAACCTCCCATTAATTTTGATAGGAAAAGAGCTTTCAAATTCTCAAAGGAGTTTCAATAAATATTAATGGTCCTTTCAAGTCTCCAACAACTGTATGCACTCGTGGAAATTATCGTAATTCTTCCAAGAATATGTGCATTCCATTTCATGGAGGATTCCTGCTTCATACTGGGTTATGTTAGAAGCACATCCCATATATATGATATTATGACTGACCACCAAGCCTCTCAAAAAGAATGTTAAATTTAGAATGAATCTATATAAATGTGACAGCCAACTATGCTACAATTTACCTCCACTTCAAATTATTTGTGTATAAAAAAGAATCAATGCAGTAATAGAAATGTTGCTAAATTTACACCCAATTTTGCACTTTTCACTCAGTTGATTTTCCCACTTACTGGAGAAATGCTAATTGTTCCTAATAGTAATTAAAAGGCAATGAAAGCATTCCTTTTCTCTCTTAAATCTATGTGTAATTTTTTTTTTTTAGTGCATACACACTGTTGGGGCAGGCTATGGTTTACCACCCAAACAAAACAGATGTTAACAATAAAGCACTAATGCCAGGAAGCTGTACTGGTGTTCACCTAAACATAATTTTTAAAAGAGATAATTGAAGGTTCTTACTCACATGTTGCATGCTAGTCATTTCACACTACATGACCTCTATGAACTGCAAGTGGTAGAAGAAAACCAACCTGCAGATATGCTCACCCAGAAAAAAGAAAATCTTTGTATTAAAGTAGCTTCCCATTC